GAGGAAGAGACAGACAGAGAGACACTCAGACAGGGGGCGGAGAGGGAGAGGGGGGGCTATTCTTCCCCAGCAGCTCCTGTGTCCGGTGCTCTGCGATGTCTGGAAATCTAACGCCACCACACAACTGCAGAAACACAGCGCGCGAGGGACCTGTCAGACAGGGGGGATCCGGGCAGTGCCCGATTTCTCTAGTGGCAGGTGGAGAGACACAAAAATGGCTTAATCGCAGCTCATTTTTAAAACCCCCAGAACGGGCTCCTCTGAAGACTCCTGTCATTTTCTCTGAGCATCAGCATGGCAAATAACCAGGAGAGCTGTGCAATGAAAAAAATGCAAAACACGAATTTAGCCTTAGTAAACTATCTACCGTACATATCTCACCAGTGCAAAGTGCTTTAAAACACAGCTGTCTGGGTGTTTGTGATCAGTTCGTGCTGACGGGATCTCTGCCAGGCTATAACCGACATGCACAGTTTGTAGCTGTTTGTTTCCCTTGGCAGATCGGGCTCATTGAGAAGGGAGGATTCTGGCTCTTGGCTTTGAGGCGTCGTAACTCACGATTCCTTTTTATTTTTACGTTTTTAAAAATAAAATAATTTCAAAAGGGAGTGCAGGCCTTTCTAGAGAAATTAATTCCCTGCGGGATCAAGAGGCTTGTTTTTAATGTCTCAATTGCTTTTTTTTTAAAACGGCCGGCAAGATGTCTATCTCACGAGATCAAAGCCGGGCTTTGCTCTGCGTCGTGAAACAGGGGGCTGAGGGCTTTTGAAATCCTTACCATCCAGCGCTGCTGATGGATTCTCGGATTCCGGCTCCCTTCCCCTCTCCCCTCTGTGAACGAACGCGCAGGGAGCCGTCCTCCTGATTGGGAAGGGGCAGCCCAGTCCGAAGCCATACGCATCTCTCCTCTCGGTTACTGTTGCTAGGTCTGTGAGAACACTGCAGTCCCGGCCTCAGCCAATCAGCAGGCAGGGGCTGCAGCAGCGTTTCAAACAAACAGATGAAAATGGAATTAATGAACTTCACATCATCATGAAACATTTACACCCGGAGATGGATCATTTGCAAAATGATACGGCAAAAATAGAAACTACGTAAAAAACAGACCCTGTTTCCTCTCCCTGCCTCCATCAGCCTCCTAGATGAAGCGCTGCTCCCAGACTGCAATCTTGGCTGAGGAAGAGACAACTGGTTCTGTCTCTTTATCGATTGTTCTTAAAGCCCTGCTTACGAACTTATTCGATTTTTTACCCGTGCCGTCCATCTCCCTGCGTGCCTGTCCCCAGTGAGCCACAGTGAACTCTCCTGGGTATCGGATCGGGACCTTCGATAGCTCCAGAACTTCCAGCTGTCCACTCTGGCTGGGCGGCACACCAAGAACTGGACAGCAGTCTCTGCTTGTCCGATCCCTCTCGCTATAAGAGGAATCCTGCAGGAACATCAGCAGCCCTGGCCTGAGACACAAGAATGCTCCCCTTTGCCCCTTGTAGTGTCCGGCCAGGGAAACCTGCAGTGTGCTCACACCCACGAGGGAGTTAGTGGTGTGCCATTTCTGCCACACTCCCAGCTCGCAGGCTTTACAATCAGGCGAAGACAGACAGACAGACCGTGGGCGTCCCACGAATCTGCTGGTCCTGGACTGCGCCTCCTCTTGGCCTGCAGGGCGGCGCTGTGTGGAGTTCAGGCTGTAGAAGACAGTACCCACAGGTGGGACAGGGGGAGTGTGGACGTGCTGCTGGGATGTGAGCTGTGACAGACTGGCCGGTGGAGCAAACCTGCTCTCGCGTGATGGCCGCACGCTCTCGCCCCTGTCTTCCTCCTCACGAGGAAGGGTGATGAACTCGAAGGAGTGCTTACCTAACTCATTCTGGAGCTAGCTTGCGAGCTGCAGCGCAGACATAGAAGACAAAACTAAAAATAACAGGTCATGATAATCGGTAGAGGGATTCTTCTCCTTCACTGAAAGCTGTTTCAATTATTCACTGTGTGGAAACCTGCCCCCCCGCCTTCGCTCAGTGCATCTCTGCGGGAGCCACTTCCATTGCTAAGGCAGAGGCGACCGCAAGAGAAGGCATTGCTCCGACCTGCATGTGGAGAAGGACAGCTTTCGTTAGGGCTGAGTGGATTGAAAGTCTGCTTCACAGACTCAGACCGGGAGAGTGTTTGTTTCTGTGAGGGGCTGTGTTGTTCATATCTAGACTGGTGCAATTTTTAGGAACAAGTAAAGGTTAATTCCATGCTGCAGAGTAGGAGGGAGAGATGAGTTTTGGGCTGTTGGGTCTTCTTCAGGTGTGTGAGAGTAACGTGTGGAGGGCAGCGCCGGTCACAGTGGGCACACAGGTGGTATTATTACAGATACTTTGAGGTGTGTGCCATCTCTCGCCATTACCCACCACTATGGTAACCTGAATCCGTTCCAGTTTCTGATGCAAAACAAAATATCAAAAATAAGAAATTCAGTTAGGACTGAAAATAAAATAAAAACTGAAGAGCACAGGGTACTGTATGTCTGAAAAGCCAGTAACAGAAGGTCTGGGAGGATGAGGTCACTGGTCTCGGAGTGTGTTTGTGTGTGTGTGTGTG